GAGAGAGAGAGAGAGAGAGAGATTGTGATCAACTGACGGAATGACGGATAGAATGACAGGGAGAAAAAAAAATTAAATTCTGTGTGTGATACGGACTGTTCTAGGCAACTGAGAAAGCCTAGGGACTGTTCAATTATTTAAGAGTTTTATGTTATATAGCTAGTTTAAAAATTAAGAAGATCGGCAAAATAAGAAGAAAACTTATCCAAGTATCATAAAATTATCAAACGTACCGAATTATAAAGATAATCTTTCATGACGCTAAAAGATTTAATTGTAATAAGAAATGGTGGAAAAGGTATTTTTTAAACTGAGTTTAAGATATGGCTGCATGATTCTAGATGGGTATGAGGGGCCTTGTTGGCTCTACCTAACGAAAGAGGAGACGACAGAACAGGGTTAGAAAGCAGTAAATGAGGTGAAAGGAGAACATGTTTTAAAGAAAAAATAAGAAATCAGGTTATACGAGCGTGCAGGACACATTAAACATTTTCAATTGGTAGGAAATTTTGATTTTTGCCCGGAGGCCGGCCGAAGCCTACTCTTACCGATTTTGACCACCACGGGATTTTTAACGTACACATCCGAGATTTTACGCCCTTGTCCGAGGAGGCTAGGTCTATATCTTTTCTACCTGAAGATCAGAGGTGTGGCTGAAAGACAACAGTAAGAAGGAGCTATAAGGAGTAGCAGTAGAAAGGCTGTGGAAAGAGTCAGAAGCCCAAAGGAGGGGGCAGAGGAGATGAGGGGGTGGGGGCAGAAAATGAAGGCGAAAGCAGACAACAAAACATTGCTTGAGAACAGGAAAGGAGGTTAAAGGAGACGATTTTAGAGAAGAAAATTGTTCCGTCGCCACCCAGATTCGAACCTGGGACCTTTGAAAGAGAGGCAAACACTTCAACCTCTAGGCCACGAGAGCCCCCTAAATTTAATACGACCACTATGTAACCCACATTAAAAAATCCAGACAAAACTGATCGTGCGTGTTTTTCGTGTCAAATCGCAAGGTGATCTTATCACACATGACGCGATTCCTATTATAGGGAAAAAACTGCATGTTCTTTTCTCAAAATTAGCCTTCATGCACATAGAGTAGGACACAGTCGATGCGAGTGAGTGTGGAGAATGATGTTTAATATTATACTGATGGGCAGCCTACATGAAAATAAAATATATCCAAAATCCGTGAATGTTAGTTCCATGTAGTGTGTGCGTGTGTGTGTGTGTGTGTGTGCGTGTGTGTGTGTGTGTGTGTGTGTGTGTGTGTGTG